CCATACAGTATATTACCCTCCATTAATATGTATCTAACACAAACTAAGTAAAAAAAGATGAAACTGCCTTCCGCCTTCCTTGCGCGCCGCTCATAACGCGCGTGACGCGACGCACAACCCCTTGAGGCGCGTTCGCCATAGACTTTGCATGTAAACTGGCAGCTCCTGCCGCTCAAAACGCTCTCGGTGTGAACGAGCCATAAGTCTTAAAAGTCATTGAATTCATCAATCCAAAAATAAGGCCTTAATTAGCCTTAAAATGTCTTAAATCAATCTTTCAGAAATCTTAAAAATGTTAACACATTGTAAATAGGATGACTGTAATTCATCTCAAAATTAAAATAATTGGTAAAAATTATTTTTTAAAATATTCACATGCAGACAATCCCCTTTGACATCACTTCCTGTTATTACCTCCACCAAGGGTGAGGTAATGTTTTCGGTAACGTATGTCTGTCTGTCTGTCTGTGGACAACATTACTCAAACACTTGTGGACGGATTGTCAGGACATTTTTACCACATGTGTGTACTGGTCCAAGGAACACACCTTTAAATTTTGGTGATGTTCTGGATCATGATGTGGATACAGGAATTTATTTTCTTTTAACACTCTGAGATCGGCAAAGCTGTGATGCTTTCACAGGGCTTCTGTAAAAAACAGTGAGCTGGATTGGACAGCACGGACTTCAAACTTTATAAAAGTAATGTTAAAACCACATTTAACGATGAATATTTTTTACCATAATATGCACATTTACAGAACGTTTTGTGACCAGGAAGTGCGTGACTGCACCATGAAACCTATTTTTCCCATTTCCTCAAACACACCACATTTCTGAAACAACCAATGAAAACAGTTTGTCTCTACTAGGCTTGTAAACAGAGAGCTGCCGGGCCTCAAAGTTTGGAGACGGGGGGGCAGGAAGCACTTTATAAAGAGAGTCAAACCATTACAAACTCATACAAGGAGATAAAACAGACGTTTTACATGGTGAAATGTGACTGATGGAAACTTAGGAGCTTAATCCCACACCAGTTTGACCAGGAATAACATCAGGTGACCAGTCTGACTTTATTTTCACATTGGACTCCGCAGAGAAGAAATCCCATCATACTGCTGCTTAAATGTTCACTACGTCAGAACTTATTCAGCAAATGTTTCATCTCTGCTTTTACACATTAACTCTTACAGGATGGAGGAAACTGGACTTGGTGGAGGTTTGAACTCTCCAAGTGCTTCTAGTTTCACATGCAAATATCTCAACTGTCCATCTGAGCAACGTGAAATTTGTTTTATAATATGTTCATGTTGTCTTTACAAAAATGCATTCATTTTTCTAACAAAAACTTGATGTCACTTAAAGGTTTCAGCTACAGCAAGTTAGGGTTAAGACCCCTCTATGGGTCCTAAAACTACAAATTTTGGGTCGTTAGAGGATTCCCAGAAATTAAATTAAGTTTAAAACTGGCTGCTAAGAATGTTTCTGCTATAGTTAAATATTGATAAAAAACAATTGGTCCATACCAGGACTATTCAACTGAACTGCTCCAGGGGCCACAGTTACTGCAGACCAACAGCTGAGGGGCCAAACATCCAGCAGTTAACGTTATTATGTAAATAAACCAAGTATTACAAAGATCTGCTACCTTTGAATTAGTTTATTTTGCTGCTTTTAATCATGATTACAACATGCAGAACCTTATAAAAGTAGTGATAATTAAACAATATCAAAAACAAAAAGAACACATTCTGCCTCCTATTATTAGACACAAATAATATTTTAACATCTCTGACTTGTCAAATTTTTAAATAATTTTTTTTTCACTTTCATCATTTTGTCTTCAACTGCATTTAGTTTTAACTGTCTTGAGTGTTTATAGAAATGTTTTTTACCAGCTTGTAGCCAAGATTCTGATGTTTGTGTAGACACCAAACATGTCTGTGTTTAACTAAAATAACTTAGAGTAATTAAAGTAGAAAACTGGAGGGTTTGGGTTTAAGAGATGAATGAAACAACTGACGGGCCGAACTTTGGTCAGCAATATTTGAATACTTGAACCAAAAATACTTTGATTTATCAGTTTCTGACAGTTTTTTTTATTTTTTGTCATTATGAAATTGATCTTAAATTTAATTTCCCTTGGCATTAAAAAGTCTTAAAAAGTCTTAAACTTAACTTGCTTTAAACTGCAGGAGCTCTAAGACAAGAACATAATGTCCAAAATATAACATCTACTCAGTAAAATACTGGGTATAGTAGACAGTAAAGGATCTGGAGCTGCTTGTGTAAACAGAAATATTAGCTTGTGTTAAATAGTCCATCCACAGCACAGTGTTCCTGTGTGTCCATGATGTAGCCTGATCCCACAGCTCCTGCAGCAGGACTGCAGAGAAGCTGCTGTGTGAGGACCTGACTGTTGGCTGAGGGTCCAGTCTGTGGGCTCTCTGTAAGGATCAGTCAGACCACCTGTGTTGGACTAAAACATGATGTCTTTCATCTCCTCTGTCTGCAGATGAGAAGCAGGGAGGAACCATCAGAGTGTCCGACTACATGGATGCTGCTAAAAGAGGTGAGACAGCGCCACCTGGCTGCAGACTGAGGCTCTTCACCTCCATTACTGTGAGCTCAGGAACATGGAGGACATGTTAGGAAACTTGGACGTCACAAAATGATCTGTTTAGAAAGTTCAAAATGTTCTCAGCTACAGAAACACAAGTTAAGAGCTTTAATCAGAGAAACAAACAGGAGTTCTTCACAAAGGTCAGTTCAAAACAATCGTGTTTTGTTTAGATCAGGGCTATCCAACTGGCAGCCTGCAGGCCGGTGACTTACTTCCATCCAGCCTGCAGGTGGGGACCCGATCCAAACCCATAATAGTTTGTTTTTTTTCCAGAGACACACTTGGATCAGCAGCAGGGACAGCACATTAACCACATCAAATAACAAACTTCTCAGTTGTTGTTGCAACTTTCTGTGTTGATCTTTACGTAACTCATTTTTGTTTAGGCTACAGACAACAAACACACCAACATATTCTCTGTTTCAAACTTGTGATTGCAATGACCTGAAGGTGTAAAAGTACTAAACTGTGTCTAACATTCAGTTAATCATTCATAAATTCCTTTCTGAGGGTTAGAATTTGGTGGTTTGCTGGGGTTTGGTGAGTTGGACTGGTCTGGTCTGGGCCTCATTTTTGTAATAGTTATTTTTACTGTATACTATAAAATACTAGTTACTGTATTTGTGGATGTTTAGAGGTCTGAACTTTAAAGAAGCTGGGTATTTAGGGCCTCTGCTTTTGGGTAATAGTTTTGGGGTTGTTTATGGAGGATTATTTTATAAACCAGTATGTAAAGTCCTATGTAAGCCTAATTTTAGGCAATGGGTTAAGACTGAGGGAAGATTTGTTGTATGTGTTTAGTTTATACTAAGATTCTTTAGTTATAGTGTCTATTGAAGGTTGAATTAGAACAAAGGCAGTTCAATTTGAATTGTGCTGTTTTTGTCTACTTCATGCAACTTCTGTAGTTATGTAGCTGGTGATGCGCACTTCTAATTTTGGAGGTTTGTTTGGATTATTTTAAAGTTGTTCTCTGGTCATCTAGTTTATTTGCATGGTCAGAGGTGAGTGCAGCATCCCAAAATGTAGAACTGCTTTCAACAAAACGTCTTTCTCTTTGTTACCACAAATCATTGGAATAGCTTACCAAAGAACAATTTAACATGTTCCACTTATAAAATGTTGGCACATTTGGCAAAAATAGGGCTGTTAAATAAGCAGATTTGTGCTCATGATTGATGGATAAGGTTTTATGAAGTTGTCTGTTACTTTGTAGTTTGGTTTTAGTGAGATCGGAGTAATTGATTTTTTAAAAAATATGTATGTAATCATTTACTAAACTGGCTTTTTTATTGCGTGTTAAATCACATTTGATCACATCAACCTGTCCAGGGACTGCAGGTGGAAATTAGCATTCTTTGCTATAACCTGGTACCATGTATCTCTCCTTGTGAAAGGTTAATGAATTGTTGTACATTGTCTCTGTATAAATAAATAAACAGTGAACAGTTAGTACAGGAGCAGCAGGACTGCCTCAGTTTAATTCGTATCTAATGCTAAAACAAATTTCAGGACTTGGTCAACAAGCGTTTCAGCCGTTTATCACCAAACACTCCCACTGGGTGGGGGCCCCCCAGGGTGATTGATTACCAAGGTCAAGGTCTGTGTCCAATTGGGAGGTGATTTGGTGATGAATCGAACTAAAGTGCTATTGTATGTTAACCTTTAAGGCCACTAAAGGATGTAAATTTAAAGGAAAAGTTCAGAGGTTTGATCCATGTTTCTGATGGTGGGTATGTCAGTGTGTGGTTGAGGCTGATCCTCAGAGAAGACTGGGCACCTTTCTCATAGTGCTGTTCCCATGGGCAGAAGCCTGGGAAGGCAGTAGAGACGGGATAAATGGCTCTTTGAAGGGATTCGGATCTTGGACCATTTGTTTCATAGAGCCGTTCAAAAGAGCCGTTCCATTTTGAACGTATTACATCATCACGTAGGAAAAGCAAAAGCAAAGCGGCAGTGATTTAAGTATGAAAAAAATAAAGATTATATGAGGAATAAAAGAAATAAAACTACAAATGGCTCATTACTGCCCGAGATCCGGCTGCTAGCGTTCGTTGTAAAGAGCCGTTCAAAAGATTCGGATCGTTCGCGAACGTCACATCTCTAGAAGGCAGATGCGTACCACACCCCTGGTTCCAAAAACACACTGTCCGTCTACCTTTGAGGAGTTACAAAAATTTGAAGGTGCAGGACCACGAGCTGGAACACCACTCGGGGCCAATGTGCGGGGACGGCCTGATTGCGTCACTATTGGAGTGCCTGGTGCGACGCTTCAACTATAAACCTAACTTTCAGCTCCGTACTCGCTCTAAACTCCGGCCCCTGCTGTCCTCTTCAGACTTAGAAATGATAATTCATGCCTTCATTTCTACCTGCTCAGACTATTGTAACAGCTTGTTCACCTGTCTTAACCAGAAACAGTTAAATCGTCTTCAGTTTGTCCAAAACTCAGCAGTAAGACTCCTAACCTGAACCTCCAGATTCACCCACATCTCCCCGATCCTAGCAGAACTTCACTGGTTTCTGGTTCAAAGTCCTGGTCCTCACCTTCAGAGCTCTTCATGGCCAAGCACCTGAATACATTAAAAGTCTCATTTCACCTTACAACCCCAGAGGAGACCTCCACTCACAGGATCAACATCTCCTTATGGTTCCCCTCACTCACTTTAAGACCCCTGGTGACCGGTCCTTCTCCTCTGTGGCCCCCAGGCTCTGGAATGAACTCCCTTTAATCTGAGCTCCATTGATAACATTGTCTCTAAGACACTCCTAAAAACTCACTTTTTCTCTCAAGCGTTTAACGATTTCACCATTACTGCCAGCCTACCTCCATAGTGAATGCTCGCTAATCTTTGTTTTCTTTATTATTGAACTTGCACCATATTTTCTCTCCCACATTCATTATGTTTTGTGTATTATTGTATATTTTGACCTGCTTGTGTTTGATTTACAGTTTTAGAAATTAATTCTTGATTTGATGTTTCATTACGTTGCTTATGTGTAATTATGTTTTTCTGTTTCATTTTATTCTCTTCACCATTTTTATACTGTTAATGATTGTACAGCACCTTGTGAATATATTTCTATGAAAGACGCTTTATAAATAAAACTTTACTTACTTACTTACTCACTAACTCAGGGGGTCAGTTAGGCTTAGAAATAAGCTGTAAATGAATAGAAATAAATTCAAAGTTCCCATGAGGATAGAAGAACAAATGTGCACGTCCATGCATTTCTGTACATAAAGTATATATTTATATTTATATATGTATATATTATAGTACTGGTATAATTTATAATTTGGGTATATTGAACCTGTTGTTTTCTGCAGTGTGCAGCAGTCTGTCCAGCAGTCCTCCACAGAGTCCCTTCCTCTGTCTGGACCTGGTCTACATCTCAGTCCTGCTGCAGGAGCTCGGCTTCCCCCCACACACACAGCTCAGGGTGAGTTTGGATCCATGGCTTTGGTTGTGGATCAGTGATCTGATCAGTTACTGATTGATCCGTTCTAACTCCTTAACAGCTGGTGAGGACCATCAACCAAGTGGAGACCAGCTGGGCTCTGGGGGCCACCTTCCTTTACATTGAGTCCCTGAAGAAACACTGAGTCAAAGCACATGCTACATTTATTTTGAAAGACTCTGCAAAAGATCCTGGTCCTGAAGAAGAGCCGACCCAGAAGAATCAGACAGGAAAACCTGAAAACACTCCGACCACTGTTCTGTTTCTATATTTTTGTTCCAAAGTTGACAACTATTCTGTTTGTCGTCCTGTGAGCAGTGAAACAATCGAAACTTTTATTGTGGGAAGCAGAAAGTGGAGCAGAAACTCACATCAACAAAGAAGAAACTTCAGAAATCTGAACAGTAATTAAAATGAGAACTAGAAATGATCTGCAAAGCAGCTTCAACGTTATAAACTTTCTTTTCCAAAGCCCAACCGGATCTCAGGACTTCCTTTTGTTTTTATCTAATTCATGACAGATCCAAGCTCTTATTTTGGAGAGTATCTACGTGCCTTATTTTGAAATTTCAGGTTCAAACTTTTTTTTGTTTGCATTTTGTGTTTTTCTGACTTTAAATCCTGAATCCTGCCAACACTGTGACTTAATCCTGCTGAACATCAAAGGTCTGATTAAATCTAAGAGGGCGGCCATGATGGAAACAGAAGGAAGACAAGCATGCTGGGTCCTGTAGAAGACAGGGTCCTCGTGGTGACCACACACATTTGATAGAGCAGCACTTTAGGCAGAAACACACAGTAAAAAGTGAGCCTCAGACAAACAGTGTGTGTGTAAAAACTAAAGTCAGATCTAAAAACATACAGACCCGTGAGCAGCACCAGTTCTGATGGTCACACATGTTCAGTCTGAGGTTTTTACAGGGTTTATGAAGATAGTTCAATACAAACCATCACTTCCTGCCTGGAAGATACAATTCTGAGCTCAGATAAAGTACAAGTCAGTGAGAGTTTGAGTGTGTGACCTCTGACCTCTGTGGTAACTGAGGGAAAACCACCAGCAGAGACAAACTAAACTAAAATATCCACTGGATGGTAAAAACAGGACAGGTTGTGGAAATAAGAAGAGTTTGATGTTTGTTGTTTTCCAACAGTTTTTAAAACAGCTGAAAGGCTAGTGACAGACTGAAGGATCAAATCTGTAAAAAGGCTTCACTTAAACGGACTGTGTAGAAACTGTTAAAGATCTGAAAACATCAGTTTAATCATTGGTACAATTAAAAGTATTCACACCCCTTGAACTTTTCCATATTTTTTCAGGTTACAACCACAAACAAATGTATTTCATTGGAGTTTAATGTGAAAGACCAACACAAAGTGGTACACAAAGTGAAGTGGAAAGAAAATTATGCATGATTCAAAACATTTTTACAAGTAAAAATTTTAAAAGTGCAGCGTGCAAAAGTATTCAACCCCCCAGAGTCAATACTTTGTGGGACCACGTTTTACTGCAATTAAAGCTAAAGTCTTTTAGGGTACATCACCAGCTTTGTAACATCTAATGACTGAAAGTTTGGTCCGTTCTTTGCTCAACAGCTCAAGCTCAGTCAGATTAGAGAGTGTTAGTGAACAGCAGTTTTCAGATCTGGGTTTAGGTCTGGACCCTTCCAACACATGAATATGTGAGGATTTAAACCATTGTAGCCCTGGTTTATGTTTAGGGTCGTTGTCCTGCTGGAAGGTGAACCTCCACCTCAGTCTCAAGTCTTTTGCAGACTCCAACAGATTGTCCTGTATTTGTCTCCATCCATCTTCCCATCAACTCTGACTATCTTCCCTGTCCTTGGAAGAGTGTCCAACCCCTCTGGAGGAGACTGGTTCCAGAGCGGTGTGTCGAGGTGAGTCCAACTATATCTAGTCTGAACCTCTCAACCTCACACACCAGCTCAGGCTCCTTCCCCACCAGAGAGGTGACATTCCACGTCCCTAGAACCAGCTTCTGTAGCCGAGGATCGGACCGCCAAGGTCCTCACCTTCGACCACTGCCCAACATACATTGCACCCGACCCCTACGGCCCCTCCCACAGGTGGTGAGCCCATGGGAAGGGGAACCCATGTCTCCTCTTCGGTTGTCCCTGCTGGGCTCCATGGGTAAAAGCCTAGCCACCAGGCGCTCGCCAACGTGCCCCACCTCCAGGCCTGGCTCCAGAGTGGGGCCCCGGTGACCCGTGTCCGGGCGAGGGAACACTTAGTCAATTGATTGTGTTCATCATAGGTGTCTTTGGGCTGCACTTAGTCTGATCCCTCACCTGAGACCTGTTTGCCTTGGGTGACCCTACTGGGGGTATGAAGCCCCTGACACCAGAGCTCCTAGGATCACTGGGACACTCAAACCTCTCCACCATGATAAGGTGGCAGCCCAGGGAGAGGGAGCTCCAAACGACAGGATTTTAATATTTGTTACAACTAAATAAAGTAAGTGTATTCAGACATTTTACTGTTTTTAGTGTTGTTTTTGTTAATCATCCTCATCGTTCGAGGTTCTGCTGCCAAAATTTGGATCGAACTATTCCTGACGAGAACGCAGGTTTTGATGTGTTTTGTCTGGGACATTTTTCAAACTGTAGGAGACATGGAATGAAAACTGGGACAGAAAGAAGAATAACAGGTGAATAATAACGAAGCTATAAAGTTGATGAACTGGCGTCCTTAATAAATGTGAATTTATAAAACTGTCTCCTGTCAGGACATGTGTGATGATAAAATTAAAGCAACTTAATGGGATCCCTGATTAGTTGTAACATTAGACTTTATTTAATAAACATATATTTTAACTGTAAAATAAAGACTGTAAAAAT